ATACAGCCATTCAGAATTAACGTCTCGGGTTCATCCTGGGCTGCCACACTAGATTTTGTATCCCCTTGACTCTTACAGCCAGGGAAAATCTGGTAATTCCAGTTTAGTTAAATTTACCTGCCTCCAAATCTACTCTTTCTGAAGGAATGCTAATTTGCCCTCTTCTGCATTTCTGAGTCAGTGTACAATGTCCAACAGATACAGCTTGACTACATAGAAAAGCAGTACAACCTACTTTTCTTCAAGTGCAGTATTAACCTGTCCAAGGTGATTACATTGGCTGGAAGTCTATAAGTGGAGAAGAACTCTGCCAGCAAGGGAAGTATATCAGCTTCACTAGATTCAGCATGTTCTTGCTAATGATGAGTTCCACAGTGTGACATGCCATGATGGTTGGGTCTTTAGTCTGCTCTGGATCCAAAGATGTCTCCATGACTCTCCATGATTACATCATGTCATTCAGGAAGAGCTAGGCTCCTTCTACACTGCCATATAATCCAGATTATCAAAGCAGATAGTTCACATTATCTGCTTAAAATGGATTATATGAGTCTAAACTGCCATATAATCCAGTTCAAAGCAGTTAATCTGGATTTTATATGGCAGAGTATTCTGAATGCTTCTGTACAAAGCTTTCTGAACATGCCTGATCAGTAGTTATCCATGTTACTTAGTCTCACACATTATGAAGAGCAGTAAAGACAACCACTGATAAATGTGGTCAAAAAATGGACATCATCACCTCCATTAGTGGTGTTATTATGGCTGGGGTCTTGATAAACCATCTGTCATGTATACAATTAGTGTTACCTACAGCACCACTTCTTAAACTGCGAGTTGACCCCAAATGGAGTCCCCTTAGCTCTGTATTGGGGTCATGAAAAATTTAGCAACAGTAAAAGGTTTCTGAATGCCACCTAGACATTTACACAAATACATCAGCAGAATGTGTAGATCATGGTGGACTCAGATCATGGTGGAGGCTTTCTGGGGGTTTTTAAATCAGGGGCTGGATGACCATCGGTTTTTGTGTGTGTGTGTTCCTGCATGGATTGTACTGGATGGCCCTTGCAGTTTCTTCCAATGCTATGATTCTGTGACTTTGCAGAACATGCTATAGCTGTATTCCACAAAAAGGAAAATCAGCCTTGCAAACCTTGTTTTCAGTAAATGTTTGATTTTATATCTTTTTAATACCTATATACACAGACAGAAGGAGGTTATGAATGGAAAAAGTTAAAGAAGCCCTGACCTAGAAAATAATGGTTCTAGCTGAGCAGAGTGTTTTCATCTCAAACATGCAAGAAATTAATGGGGGTCCAGACAAGCATTTTGGACATGGACATCCATAGCAACCTTGTATCTGCATTGGCTCTGCTTAGAAGCCTACTTATGAACAAGGATCTCTGTTTTTAAGGCTGAGAGTGCATGAGTTCCAAAGTTGCCGAGTGGGTTTCCACTGAGATGCAGGAAGTTCGACCCTGTTCTGAAGAGTCATAGTCCAATGCTCAAACCACTACTTTCCCTGTCTTGCCAATGCAGCACTGGATTTAGGCCATTGTCTGATGCACACTCTTCCTAATGCTATGAGAAGTTTACCCCTGACTTCAACAAGATTAAGATCATCTTCTGTGTTGCAAAATGTAAAGCACTAAGGCAATCCTTATGTAAAAATCATTAGATCGGTGTGTGCGGCATTTTTCCTCCCCTATGGGGTATGCACAATACTACCTTGATTGGAAATGGATGACACATTCAATCTGATTGAATAGTTAAATGGGACCTTAAAGACAATGAACATTAGCCACTTAGTCTGTTTGTTAAATCCTAATAAATTAAAACTGCATGTGCAGTAATGATTAAGGCAACTTCAGATATTGAAGAGGAAAGAGATGCGCCCTTGATGTGTTATGGCATCACTATAACAAACGCATTTAGTTAATGGAGGATCTATGTTGCAATAGTGAGCATAGAGAACCTGCAGGTGGAAAAAAATACAAACACATTTCCCAGCAGAATCTCCTATCACAATTCATTAGGAAAAAATCGGCAAGAACTGATGAGATAGGCACAAAATGGATTTCCATATTGCTGGACTGAATCATGGCTCCGAGCAATTAATGCTTTTTGTCATATTAAGCAGATAAATAATGCTATCTGACATTACAGTATTTCACATTACAGTAAAATTTTGTAGCATTTGCTCGTAATCGGACTTGAAATATGTTACCTAGGAAAAAATATGTTATCTCTGGAACAGTCAAACTCCATTAGAAACCCGAGGCTTGAAAAATCACAATGTTAACAGTTATGTCCCCTAGCAAAGGTTTGCTTTCCTTAAATAGTGTTAAATTTAAACCCAGGAGCCCTAGTCTCTTTTAGAGTTACTCTTCCTCGGTGCATTGAGCTTGAAAGGAGAATTTAGTGCACATATTCACTCACCGCTCCTGAAGTTGCAAAGGCATGCAGGAAGACTAACGGGAATGGCATGTGCAAAAGTCTATGCTGCTGTGAATCACTTGTAAATATTTTTCCAATTGGAGCACATTGCTCTGAAAAATTGATTACCTAAAGTTTTAAAGACCGGTGTCATTGAAGATGTTCATTTCACCTGTCAATGTATTAAAATCTAATTTTGCTGCTACTTGACTTACTCAACCAAATTGGGTTGACAAACCAAGTACAATCTTTAGTAATCATAGGAAATGGTTCCAAAACCCAAACAGGTCTATATATACATTTCTTCCTGGTGGGTCTTTTTCTCACACTGACCCATACATCAGGGGCAGGGAACATAATGTGGTAGGATGGGAGTCATCACAAAAATGATTGATTGGTCCCATTTATATCTTCCCAGTGAATTCAAGGTAGCATACATCACTCTCTTGCTTCCACCTTCATGTTCACATAACCTTGTGCGGTATTTTAGGATGAGAGTGACTAGTCCAAGGTCACTCAGTGAATTCCTTCCAAGTGAATAGGGACTACAACCTGAATCTTCCAAATCTCAGCTGAGCCATGCAGGCTGCTTTTGAAAAACTGTGTTCTTCACCTGCAAATTAGTGCTAATTTGTTGATGGTACACATCAAAAAATGAATGAAAGACACTTGTCTCCAAATATTTGGTAGACATATACTATGGATCCAAAACAACAAAGGTACAAATTGTTGCTAGACTCAACAATGAGTTACTTTACTTGATAGCCAAAAGGACAAAGTGCCTTTCCCAGTTTATGCCTGACAAAAAACAAGTTCAGTTTATTCTCACTTTTGTGTGCGTCCATAATTCAGCAAGGAAGTGGTGCTGCTGTTTTCCTGGAAAAGACGAATCATTGGGTGTCATATCTATATTATTATTATTATAACTTTATTTGTACCCCGCTAGCATCTCCCGATGGATTCGATGCGGCTTACACAGGCCGAAGCCTCAAAAAACACAATACAACAATACAATACCCAAGCAAATTAAAAACAATTAAGCAGGAAAACAATAACAGTGACAATACAACAAAACACTATTAAAACTGGGCCGGCTGAAATAGGGGTACAGGGTTAAAAGTGCTGATGTGGCAGGAGGGATGTGGGATTAAATATAAGTGCAGTGTGCAGTGTGCAGTGATCTTGGTTCTACTAAGGTGCTTCTAGGATTTGGTACTGGAGGTTCCTAATCTGAAAAGGCACATCGGAACAGCCAGGTTTTCAATTCCTTCCTGAAGACTGCCAGCGTAGGGGCTTGTCTAAGATCTTTCGGGAGGGCGTTCCAGAGTCAGGGGGCCACCACAGAGAAGGCCCTGTCTCGTGTCCCCACCAAGCGCGCTTGCGACGCGGGCGGGATCACGAGCAGGGCCTCTCCAGATGACTGTAGTGAGCGTGTGGGTTCGTAGACAGCGATACGGTCACACAGGTAGGGTGGTCCCAAACCATTCAGGGCTTTGTAGGTGAGCACCTGCACCTTAAATTGGGCTCGGAAAATAAACGGCAGCCAGTGGAGCTCCTTAAACAGGAGGGTTGACCTCTCTCTGTAGCAATTCCATCCATACTTCTGATGCTGTTTTCTTATCATAATGGCCTTCTGCCACTTTAAAAGAGGCACCCTTGGATCTAAATGTTAATCGCAACTACAGAAGAATTGTTGAATCAAAGGAATTTACACAAATGATTTACCAAATAACTGTTGATTGGAAAGAGGAAGTTGCCTTATATCAAATCAACCTGCTGCCCAGTATTGTCAACTCTGGCAACAGCAGCCCCAACAAAGTTTTCCAAAAGTTCTACGTAGAGGTTTTTGGCATTCCCTAGGGACCTCCCATCCAACTTTACTAGACTCAACCTTTATTAGCTTCCAAAATCAGATGAAATCAGCATGGTTAAGTGGCGAGATGATGGAACAGAGTACAGTATTATCACCCTGCAGCTACACAGAGTAAATGGCATGCCTTTTGAACTACATTTCAATGCACAGGGTGTGTTAGCTGTACCTGTCCTGCTATCTTTCATGTTAGATTATAATTCCTATAATTCTACAGGTAACATGTAATGGTTGATGGGGAAAGTGGGATTTATAGTCCAACTCATCTGCAGAACCCCAATTTGGATGAGACTGACATCAATATATTGGGTGTTTCTACACTTCACATTACTGGCCTGGACCGGTAGAGAAAAATATTCTGCACAGCTATGTCAGAAAATTGTGGAGGTTATTAGAGAGAAAGATAATTTTAAATGGAACTGCTATTTCATTTGTTAACTGCCATCAAGTTGATTTCTAATGATGGTGACTTAATTAATGAGAGATCTCCAAGTCACCCTGTTATCAACAGTCTTGCTCAGGTCCTGCAGACTTAGTATTGTGATTTCTTTGATTTCTGTCTACCTGTGAAGTGATCCTCTTCTTTTCTTATGGCTTCAGGTAGCCCCATTAGTTGCATTGACAAAGAAAAGATGCACAGTACCACACTTTAACTAATCAATAACTTAATGCTGAATTTAGGATCTCTCAATTATTCCCTAAAAGTTGCCCATTTATTGTTCATATCTTCAAGTCAATACAGGCAGAAAAAATACAGTTGTACATGGAAGAGCTGATATGTTTATAAAATACAGCAAAGTTAAAAGCTTATAGTAGCTGATAACAGAACATTTCCTTAAAGTGGCAATGCATATCTTTCTCCGTATATACAGAAGTACATGGCCACCAACTCAGACTCATGTAAGAACTCTTCTACATCCCAACCAAAAGAGCTGGTTGAAAATACAGGCTGTCACCAAGTTACAAACATCCGACTTACAAATGACTCATAGTTACAAACGGGGATGAGACAACAGGAAGTGAGAGAAATCTACCCTGAGGAAGGGAAATTCACTTCTGAAAGAGTTATCATGGGGAAAAGGTGTCTCCACTGAAGCTTTCTCACCAATTCTTGTTACCACAATAAGCCAATTTTTTCAAAATTTGAAAGTGTTTTGAAATGTTTTGAACAGAGGCACAGACAGCAAAACAAACACCACAGTGGTGTTAATCCTTTGCTATGCTATCCAAAACATGCCTGCACACATATGTGTGTGTGACTGGAGTTGTGCTTAAAATGTACCTGTTCTGACTTATAAACAAATTCAACTTAAGAGCAAACCTACAGAACCTATCTTGTTCATAAATTGAGGACTGCCTGTTCACTGTTGCCTTGCCACTGAAATTATCGCTATTCACACATAATAAGCAATTCAACAAAACCACACACACACACAAAACAAAACAAAACCTGATATAAATCATTCTGTCTAACATGGTGAATATGCAGAAAGTAGCAGCTCTGCATTAGACATTCCTTTGATCAAGCAAAGCTCATAATGTGTTGATACTGTTTTTGAAATGATTGCAAGATGCACTGGTATAAAGGTAGGGTTATATTTTTATGCCAAGGCAGGAGTTCAATAGAATTTCTCCACTCAAAATATTTTCTCCCCTCACTTGGAAACATATATGCAAAGCTAGTGGAAGAGGATGAGATACATACATTCAGGAAGCACATGGGGAGATATAAGTGAGCTTTTAAATCTTATGGTCACCTCTGATCAGATGCTGGGAGATATGGATCATCAACAACAATGTGTATGGTATTCAACCAGTGAATGGTAGAATAAGAACTAGACCCTCCATGGGATGGCTGGGAAACTGCCATGTATTTAATTAGATATGGAAACTGAAGAGTCCCTTGCATTGACACACAGAATCTGGGCAGGTTGATATTCTGCGGGGATATTATAATGGTTCAACTATGCTGGCCTAAGCAATAACAACAGGAGAAGAAAGACATAGCAGCTATGAAGAAAGGCAATAGAGAAATAGACTGCTCAGCGCCAGCATATTTGACTGCAATCCTGCATGGCTAAGAGTAGTGTGTGAGTTTTGAACTATGCTATGCTGAGCCATTTGCCATACCCTGGGCTCACCATAAAGCACCTGAAGCCCTCCACCCACTGCCATTTGTGCCTCAAAGAAAGAAGGGGAGATAGCAGAAGCCTGTGACTATGTTCCTGTAGGAATGTGTGTATGTATAAATGTATGTGTATACATAGTTACGCACATTTTGAAGAATGCTGGATTCACTTTTGTTACATTTCAAGAACATGGACAGCCAATGTGGTATAATGGGTTTGAGTGTTGGACTAGAATTCAAAGAGATCAGGGTTCACATCTCCACTCAACCATAGAAACTCACTGGGTGATCTTGGGCAAAAAACATTTTCAATCTTAGCAGAAGGCAATGGTAAACTTCTTCCAATTACATCTAGAAGTGAGTAGCCAAAATTCTGAGTTGACTTGAAGGCACATAATTACAACGAGGTTTCAAGAAAGACCCAAATCCAAAACCAGCTTTCTAGTGCCTGTCTTAAAGCCCCACTATCAGTATACAAGGGATGAAGTAATGAAAGATGGCCACCTTATAATGACTGAGATGGCAGTTCTGACCATTTGCCAGCTCACTGGATCACTGCAAATGCATCAGGGCTTACACAGCTCCTTGTTGCACCTCTCCTCCATGAATAATATCCTGGGTTACACCAGCCTCCTCTAAGTAGTAGCCTCCAGTTGGGTCAGACTACAAGTCCTGTTGCTCCTAGTCATACTAGTGAGGATGATGGGTACTTTAGTCCAAACATTGGCTTGGGAAAGGCAGCTTTCCATAGTTGGCAGTCTCTTTTGATGTTAGTGGTCTACAGGTAGGGAAATCAAAATGTGGAATTACACAAAGAAAAAGATTCCCACACAAAGAAAACTAACATGTCATAGGCCACATCTAACCTATTTTCTTAAGATACTGAGGCAGTTTCAAAATTTCAGTCTCATCCTGCCTTATAGTATGATATAGCACAGGTCAACATCATAAGAGACTGGTCCCATCTTACACTTTAGACAAGCCCCACTGATTTGAGTGGGTGGTGCACATTTAGGATTGAGGTGAGAGTGTATCAAGCTGTAAATCAGAAAGTCCTACAATAACTAAAACTATCATAAAAATGTGCAAATACTTTTTTAAAAAGTGGTAACTACTGCATTCAATAAAACAGCTTTCCTTAAAAACATACAATGGTGCAAAACCAGCTTGCCAAAACAACACTGTTATTTTGGTCACATATACGAAAACCAGACTCAAGTCTCTGATGCATTTGCCTTTCAAAGAACATCATAGCTCATCATGATTTTTTGTGAGGTCTTCCCCGTAATTTGTAGCTTGACTTCCAACAAACATATTCCAGTTGTCTATAATCTCTTCTTTGGTCAACCTCTGATCCTGTGAGGAAAAATGTAAACATATGAGAACAACAGCAAAATACCCAGTCTCTATAAAGAGACCTTCAACACTGTGTCTTAAAACTAAAAGAAAGATTACATGACCCTATAATAGGATTGCTAAATAGAGGTCCCAAAAGGGATGAGAACACTGTGCTTAGAAAATATAAACTGTACATATTTGACAATAGGGTAATCTAAACACTATTTTGGTTGGGTCCAAGAACTGACTTCTGCTAATTGACGGTGTATGCATCTAATTTTGGGGGATTGCCCCTCTTCTCATCATTTACCCCATTCATCAGGGTTTCCAACCCCATGCAAATATATATATATATATATGTGTATATATATATATATATATATATATATATATATATATATATATATGGCAGTGTTTCTCAACCTGGGGGTCGTGACCCCTGAGGGGGTCGTGAGGGGGGGGTGTCAGAGGTACTGCCAAAGACCCTCAGAAAACACAGTATTTTCTGTTGGTCATGGGGGTTCTGTGTGGTAATTTTGGCCCAATTCTATCATTGGTGGGTTCAGAATGCTCTTTGATTCTAGGTGAACTATAAATCCTAGCAACTACAACTTCCAAATGTCAAGGTCTATTTTCTCCAAAATCCGCCAGTGTTCATAATTGGGCATATTGAGGATTCATGCCAAGTTTAATCCAGATCCATCATTGTTTGAGTCCTCACAGTGCTCTCTGGATGTAGGTGAACTACAACTCCAAAACTCAAGGTCAAGTCCCACCAAACCTTTTTGTGTTGGTCATGGGAGTTTTGTTGCCAAGTTTGGTTGAATTACATCATTGGTGGAGTCCAGAATGCTCTTTAATTGTAGGTTAATTATAAATCCCAGCAACTACAACTCCCAAATGACAAAGCCAATCCCTCCCCCAACCTCACCAGTATTCAAATTTGAGTGTATTGGGTATTTGTGCCAAATTTGGTTCAGTGAATGAAAATACATCCTGAATATCAGATATTTACATTATGATTAATAACAATAGCAAAATTACAGGTATGAACTAGCAATGAAAAAAACATGGTTGGGGATCACCACAACATGAGGAACAGCATTAGAAAGGTGGAGAACCACTGATCTAAGGGATGACACAGGAAAGGACATGCAGGGAATTCTATTTCTGCAAGCCTAACTGTAATTTCCCAGATGTGTAGTGAGTCCTTTATGTTCAATTTGAATGTCCCTTTCAAATAATATTGGAAATATTATTTGGATCCAACAAAGACTCTCTTTGTCCACCACTACAGTTTATTTTTCATATATTTCCTGATTGATTATTAACTGGCATTAATGCTCCCATCTTAATACAATTTAATTATTTACCTTTGAAAGGGTAGTTATGAAGCCTTGATTCTAGGTAGGCTGCCATTATGTAAAAAAATAAACCAACCATCTAACACATATGACATCAGTGACAGAAAAAAGTACCTTGTCCACATCAGATTCATAGACTAAGTGCCTTGCTTCAGCCTGTGCATGATCATAGTCCTGTGGGAGAATCCAGTGGCGAATTTCATCTTTATCCATCTTCCCATCCTTGTTCAGATCTCGAAAATCTGCAAACTGTTCCCGTTCTGTTATTACCCAGTCAGGCTCTGGTCCACCATCTTCATGTGCAAACATGTCAGCTGGGTGCAAGAAACAGTATCATGTTGCAAAATCATCCTTTAATGTACAATACAACAAAGGAAATATCAGAGTTTGGAAAAGCTTCTTCTCTGGACCAGAACTTCACACTTTTTGTGCTGGTTAGGAGAATTACAAGATTTATGCTTTTAACAAGCACTTCAAGTTCTGGAATATAAAGGTGCCCAAGTCACATTAAATTAATTAAAAAGAATTATATGCATTTTCTATGTGACCCTTTGTATTCCCCCTCTTCACACCCCAAGAAGCACAGAATTCCAGACTTCCAAGTTTTATCCCCAGGATCACAACATACCCCAGAGACGAAAGCAACATTGGTCATTAGCTAATCTGCTTTCAGGAAAAAATTACTAATTTTATAGTAGTTGAGGAGGATCAGATACTTCTAAAGAAAATACTATATGCTTGCTCTTTATGTGTTAGTGTTTATTGTCTTCTCCTTATGACCCTATAAGACACGTATAAAGAGAAGTATGAATGTACATGACTGTGTTGGAAAACAAAGTGAAGATACATGTCCCTATCTAGGACACATGATACAAGCCGCAACTGTGTTTAAGGGATTGGAAATGGATTGGGGAACTCAATTCTTCAAACCAGCATCAATCATGGTTAATGCAAACCAGTTTTTTCCTCAGTCTGTTACAAATGCTGGGTTAGAAGTAAAGTTTGCGTTCTGCTAATTATAGTTAACATTAGTGACATTTCAAAGAGAAGAGACTGATGGAAGGTTAGGATTTCATACCAAATGGTCTCCTAATGCTTAACCATGTTTTCATTTTTCTTTCTTTGTCTATTTTCTGGTCAGCAGCTTCATCTTCACAAAATACTTTGCTACTCTCACTGCTGTCACTGCTTAAGTAGGACAACTCCCCCCATCTCACACACAAAGGCAAAATTAAATATTTCACACTGATGCTATGTCACATTCTTTCCTCTAAGCTATGTTTGATGCTCAAATCAACAATATCAGTCTCCAAAACCAAAAAAGAAAAAAAAACTAGGTAGCACCAACAGCAGAAAAGATGCTCGATCACTGTCTCCCAAAGCAGTTACTATGCTCCCAACTCAAGAACAGGAAATGTAATGTTGGTGGACAGGAAAAGAGATTGAAAGATGGGCTTAAAGCCAACCTTAAAAACTGTGGCATAGATGCTGAGAATTGGGAAGACTTGGCCCTTGAGCACTCTAACTGGACGACATGATCACATTGGTCGCGCCAATCCCTGAGGAATACGAACATTTTATTGAAATAGTGAAAACCTGCTCACGGGCCTCTATACCGAGAGGCTGCAGAACCAACTACCTTCAGGGCATTACTCCTGAAACAGCTGCCTTGTTGGAAAACTATTACAAGCTCCACAACAAAGACCCATTTAGTGAGCAGACCCTTCAGGCAGCTCAGAGCATTGTGACCTCCATCTCTGAAGCCAAGAAAGAACAGTGGATCAAGCTGATCACAGAGGTCGACATGAGCAGGAGCAGCCAGAAGGCATGGAGGCTGCTAAGACGGTTGAGCAATGACCCCTCACAAACTAATACCCATGCCAACATAAAGGCAGATCAGATAGCACACCAACTCTTGAAGAATGGGAAACCCAACCTTGCCACCAAAGTAGGAAAGAAACCAATAGCCAGACAACAAGAGATTGAGAACAACAACCTTCATGAACCCTTTACATCTACTGAATTGGACATGGCTCTCAACAAATGTAAGAATGGCAAAGCAGCTGGCTTGGATGATCTACGGATGGAACAAATCAAGAACTTTGGTCCAAAAGCAAGGCGCTGGCTGCTGGAGCTGATGAACAACTGCACTGCATCCTGTCAGATCCCCAAAATCTGGAGGAAAGCAAGAGTCATCGCCATCTTGAAGCCAGGCAAAGACCGTAATGACCCAAAAAGCTACAGACCAACCTCCCTGTTGTGCCACCTCTACAAAGTTCTGGAGAGACTTATTTTGCATAGAATTATGGAAAATATAGACCCCTGTCTGATCCCACAGCAAGCTGGCTTCAGAAAAGGCAAAAGCTGCACATCGCAAGTGCTGAACCTGACCCAGCACATAGAAGATGGCTTTGAAAGGCAGCAGATCACAGGAGCTGTCTTCATAGACTTGTCAGCAGCCTATGATACTGTGAACCACTGCCTCCTCCTGAGAAAAATGTATAATATCACAAAGGACTACCACCTCACCCGCCTCATAGGAAACCTGCTACAAAACAGGAGCTTTTTTGTTGAGTTCCAGGGCCAGAGAAGCAGATGGCGGAAACAGAAGAACGGCCTGCCTCAGGGGAGCGTGCTTGCATCCATCCATGTTCAACATCTACACAAATGACCAGCCACTGCCAGAAGGGACAGAGAGTTTCATCTATGCTGATGATCGTGCCATTACTGGTCAAGCAGGAGCTTTGAGATGGTTGAACAGAAGCTCTCCGAAGCTCTAGGTGCTCTTACTGCCTATTACAGGGAAAACCAGCTGATCCCTAATCCATCTAAAACACAGACATGTGCTTTTCACCTTAAGAACAGACAAGCATCCCGAGCTCTGAGGATTACCTGGAAGGAATCCCACTGGAGCATTGCAGCACACCCAAATACCTGGGAGTCACTTTGGACTGTGCTCTGACCTACAAGAAGCACTGCCTGAACATCAAACAAAAAGTGGGCGCTAGAAACAACATCATACGAAAGCTGACTGGCACAACCTGGGGATCACAACCACACACAGTGAAGACATCTGCCCTTGCGCTATGCTACTCTGCTGCTGAGTATGCATGCACTGATATTGTGGAACACATCTCATCACACTAAAACAGTGGATGTGGCTCTTAATGAGACATGCCGCATTATCACGGGGTGTCTGCGCCCCACACCACTGGAGAAATTACACTGCTTAGCCGGTATTGCACCACCTGACATCCGCCGGGAAGTAGCAGCCAATAGTGAAAGGACCAAGGCAGAGACATCTCCAGCCCATCCCCTGTTTGGGTATCAGCCAGCACGTCAACGACTTAAATCTAAAAAAGTTTTCTTAGATCTACAGAGACACTCGCTGGAACACCGCAGCAAGCGAGAGTTCAAAAGTGGCAGGCTCAAACCCAGCACCTCAATCCATGGGTGATACCAGATGAGAAACTCCCCCCTGGGCACACAGAAGACTGGGCGACTTGGAAGGCGCTGAACAGACTGCGCTCTGGCACCACGAGATGCAGAGCCAATCTTAAGAAATGGGGCTACAGGGTGGAATCCTCGGCATGCGAGTGCGGAGAAGAACAAACCACTGACCACCTGCTGCAATGCAACCTGAGCCCTGCCACATGCACGATGGAGGACCTTCTTGCGGCAACCCCAGAGGCACTCCAAGTGGCCAGATACTGGTCAAAGGACATTTAACCAAATACCAAATTTACAAAATCTGTGTGGTTTTTTTTTTCTTTTTCTTTTTAATCTCTGTGTTTGTTTTGCTCTGTTAGAATTGTAATACAATGGTTGCTGATGACACGATAAATAAATAAATAAATAAATAAATAAATACTGGAGGTCAGCTGTGACCAGCAGTGCTGCAGAATTCAAAGAGGCACCAAGAAAGGGAGAAATGTGCCAAGAGGAAGTCCCATCAAACCAACCTTTACCAGAACCACCTTCCCCTTGGAAACCAATGTCCTCACTGCGGGAGAACATGTGGTTCAAGAATAGGGCTCTGCAGCCACCTACAGACCCACCGCCAAGACACTTGGGGGACCATTATCCTTGAGCTACAAGGGATTGCCTAAGTAAGTAAGGCTACAGGAGCATAGATTGACACCCCTATGCTGTTTCTTGCTCCCCACTGGCCAAGAAATAGCCATGATGTGGGACCCCTGCAAGAGACAGGTGAGTCTTGCAGGAAGTGAGTGGAGTGATGGAGTGAAACTTACTCCCCATCTTCTCATACAGGGTCCTGGCTCAGATAACCATCTACTAATGTAACTAACAAGTAAAACCACAAACAAGACAATATTCTGTCTGTACCCTTCATGAAAGAATGGCTACGCTTCTCAGTATGAAAAGGGTCTCTCCCAGTATTCTCTTCAACTCATCCACATGTTGCATACTTTTTATATCCTTCTTTGTCTTTCCACTACTGAAGCTGTTTATGCTGTGATATCTATGCGGCATTTTGATCAAGAGAGTTGCTTCACCACCTTTTGTCACTTATTTTGTCTGATAGGGAAGCATTTCAAGGAGAACTTTGGCCCTAAATGCCTCTTACCCGGTGGGTTTCTTCTAAGGCTGGAGAAGAAGGGAGACTCAGAGCTCTTTCAAGATCTCCTCTTAAGACGCAATCAAAATCTTTTATTCTAGGTTCAGAAGTATGGGAGAAAAAAGGACCCAGAGCAATACTGCATCTTGTCTCTGCCAGCAAGTGTCTGTGTGGATAACATCAGAATCAAGCAAGCAGGAGTGGGAGAGGGAATAAAAAGGCACAGGGAAACTTAGGGAAACAAAAACCAGCTACATGAGACTGGATAGCTTTTAGAAAAGCTTTTTAAAAAAGAGGTCTCCACGCAGGAGAAGTACTTCTTAATTAACTCTCCTTTTAACTGCTTAGTACTGAACACCAAGCACTCTGCAGAAAATGCCAATGGCGCTTTGGAAATGCAAGAACTGGAGGAGATCAGCAGGGGCACATTTCATTGTTATGCATCCAGAACACTCCACTTTTTGCGATACAGAGGGCTGACAGAACCATCTCTCCAAAGGCACGCACTTCCAGGATGAGGAATGGAGGACTAATGGGGCCATACAAACATTGGTTGTGGCGGACCAAAAGTAACTGTTAAGAGAAGCAGAAACTGGGGAGCATGCAATGAAAACCACAGAAGAAACTGGAGACAGCTCAAGACACTCAAAAGATGGTTCTTCGAACGGCCCACTTTTTTCGTAAATATACTTCTCAGTTTTTTTAAAAACCTGCCATCTTAAGAGCATCCTGAGACATGTTTCTAAAAATAAATTAGAGAACTAATTTTCACATTTCTTTCTTAGCATACTCTCATTTTTTTAAAAAAAAAATCACTTTGGAAGGCAGCAGGGGATCTTTCACTTACATATTTATAGTGTTGCAATTTGACTGCCATGGCAACTTCCTATGGAATCCTGGAATTTACAGTTTAGGGAAGGGCACTTGGAATCCCCAGCTAGAGCCTCACAAAATATCAGGATTCTATATGAGAAAACCATGTCGGCTAAATTTACCCGTATATACTTGAGTATAAGCTGACAGGAATATAAGCTGAGGTGCCTAATTTTACTACAAAAAAAAACTGGGAAAATGTATCGACTCAAGTATAAGCCAAGGGTGGGATATGCATCAACTACTGGTAAATTTTAAAATAAAAATAGATACGAATAAAATTACATTAAGTGAGGCATCCATAGGTTAAATGTTTTTGAATATTTACATAAAACTGTAATTTAAGATAAAACTGTCCAACTCTGATTAAATCATTATTCTAACCTTCTTCAATGTAAATGGGCTTACGTATCCTTCTAATAGTCACCGTAGTTTATTTTAACTATACATTTTGGGGAAAATACTATGTGCATATGAATAAGGAAAAGTGGGAAACGCTGGCACCAAGAGAGAAGAGGAAGGCACATGCTGAGCTGAGAGAGGAGGAGAGGAAGGAGAGTTGGGTTGCTGTGTGGAGAGGTGAGAGTCCTGGCAGGAAGGCGTGGGGCTGAAAGAAGACCTTCTTTTAGCCCCACGCCTTCCTGCCAGGACCCTCACCCAAGTATAAGCCAAGGGGGGCTTTTTTAGCCTAAAAAGGGCTGAAAAATTAGACTTATACTCAAATATATACAGTAAGTTATAGCACAGTAACTATACGGTGTAAAAGGAAAGTAGATTTGTGCAATATAATAGTAGGTGAGGTGTATATGACTGCATAGTTTGGATATATAATAAATATTGGAAATCTTCATGTCATAACTTACCAATATATTCATCTTGATCTACAAATCCATCTTCATTTTTGTCTATGTCCTCTAGCGTTTCCTATTACAATCAGGGAGAAATCTGCCATAAGAAGGATATATCATTTTTGACCAAATTTCATTATAAAACCCTTTTATTCTAAGCTGTTATCTGACCACATAAACACATGCACATCAACATCAATGTCCTTATACCTAAATCCATATGCTGTTGTTATCATCATCATACATATACATAATACATGCATATGGATTTAGATATGATAGATTTAGATGGGCACAAGGATATAAGGATCTACATCCATATACATCTATTATTTGAATAATAAAAATGATAATAATAAAAATAATGGCATACGAATTCAGATATGTAGAAACCTGTAACATTTTTTCTTCAAGGTGCCACAGAAATATACAAATATCCCATAACATTAGATAAGGATTTTCTCCATGTTTGAATAGTAAAGTAAAATCTATTATTCTTGAAAAGTCAAGAATAAAACCAATTTACTTTTTAATCAGTCCCTATGGTGAAGGCAGGGCTTTAGCTCAGAGGTGCCCAGCATCTCCAAGAATAGTTGGTAAAGCCTACTGCCTAAACCAATGGAGAACTGCTTCCAGGCACTCTGGACTAAGAAAGAAAGACCAATTGCCTGATTCTGTATAAGGTAACACACCAAAGCTAAGTGCAATGGACACCCACATTTCTAATTCTAATTCTCATACACTTCCAGCTAAATAAGTTATACAACCAGGTTATTTTTTTACAATAGCAGTGTGCACTAGCACATAATATTCATATCACCCAGCCCCTAAGACACCTCATATAGTATTTATTGATAGTACATAATATTAGGGAACTATTTGTATAACTGAAGCCAGGTTCCTTAAACTGACTTTCTTTCTGTGGACATATCCAGAGATTATTGTCTAGGAATCTGTGCTGGGAAAGATGAGGATGCTATCTTGCAAGTCTGTTTTTGCACAGAAAATCAAAGGACTGAGATTAGTTTGGCTGTCACTTACTAGAACAACAATGTCTTTCATATGCTCAAACTCCTCAGGGTGAAGAAATGCTGTGAACTCCTCCCGAGTGGCTTCAGAGTCTCCGTCCAGATCAGCTCTTTTGAATCTTCTTTCATCTCTAGGTAGCATTTTTTTAAAGCTGTGCTGCTCTGTTGCATCTTGGAAGTCAACTGGATTTTCTAGAAACCCAGAAGAAACACAGTGTGATGAGACAAACACAATTTCTGGTGGCACAAAAGCTCAAGCGTCACTCACAAAGCTATGTCATCTGGCTGAATCAAGCTAACTGCTTTTGTTTTTTTACCAGCTAATTGATGCTAAGAATAGGCTTTATTTATTTACTTACTTATTTACTAACTATATTTATATACCGCCCCTCTCAGCCCAGAGGCGATTCAGAGCGGTTCAATCCAAGATTGAACCTTTAGATCCAAGATTGCTGTGAATCACACACATCATATCTGAAACGGTCACCTTTGTATGCTGTATTTTTACCATTTGGAAACAATGAGACATTAAGTGTATTGTCCTCTGAGATGGGCTATAAGCTATCCAGTTCAAGTCCTCCTAGTGAAACAAGCAGTTCTGCCACATTTTATACATGCCACTGTAGGTCCTTTTACCACAGGGCTTATCTTAGGGTAAAGAAAACGTAATATAAGAAAGCAGAGTTGTGTGTCTCCTTCTGATGAAGTCTAACCGAAGCTATGTTCCTTCAGAGATATTTGGACTCAATCTACATTCAAGTTTGTGTAAAGTGAAGCCGACTGTTCCTGAAACTTTGGACCTGTTCTCAGCATTTTTGATAGTCCGCTAAAAATAGAAACTCTTCCTTCTTTGAAGAGAAAATCGTTTTTTCTGCACAAAATGACCACACAGGAATTTTGTACAGAATAAGTATTGAACTTGTTGTTAGGGATGCTTGACATTCAAAAAGCATGTTTTAAACCCCTTTTCAAAAAAATCAAATATTATTTCTATCTCTATTCAAATGTTATGTCCTTACTTTTCTTACCTAAGTAATAGCCATATGTGGCTTGTTTGTATTCTTCCCAGGAAATTTTATTATCTTTGTTGAGGTCATAATCCTTCCAGACCTTTGCCACATTTTCAAAGATGTAGCGTTTCTGCACTCTTTTAATCCAGTTTTTTAATTCCTCTGTTGTGACGAAACCATCTTTGTTATCATCTATTCGATCAACAATTTTCCTATAATAGAAAAAAGCAAACTGATTATTAGGATCATTGTAAGAATTCATATGTTATTTCTTGATTCTTAATCCTTGCTGTAGGTCAGAGGAACACAAGAAATGTTTTATATCTTATAAGACCACTAGTACACCAGCTCAGTAGTCTTTCAACTAGATGGAAGATTTTTTTTCCATGTCCGAGTGACTTGAGCATCTGAAGTCGCTTCTGGTGTGAGAGAATTGGCCATCTGCAAGGACGTTGCCCAGGGGATGTCCAGATGTTTTGATGTGTTACTATCCTTGTGGGAGGCTTCTCTCATGTCCCTGTATGGGGAGCTGGAGCTAACAGAGGGAGCTTATCCACGCTCTTCCCGCATTCGAACCTCTGACCTGTCTTCAGTCCTGCCCTGCCTGTACGAAGGTTTAACCCATTGTGCTACTGGGGGCTCCTACTGGATGAAATCAATTCAGTAAGGATTTTACCAGCCCGCCCTGAAGATTTTTAAACGGAAATTGAACCCAGGACCTGAATGCAAAGCTTGTGCACAACTGCTGAGCTACAATGCTGAAAGGCCTGCTGCAGCCTTTAGCAGGTCAAAATTCTTGAATGGTGCTTATTGTGACCAAAGCTTGGACCTGCTAGTGTGACTGCTAGTCCATGAATGTGAAATCATTAAAAAGAAATTAGTTATTGTCAAAACATTAAGAAATTTTTATAAAAAAGATGTATTCACTAATTTAGGAAATCATTAAATGAAATAATAATTGAAATGACTAAAAATGAATGAATGAAAATCATTAATCATTACTAAAAAAAATTTACATTGGCATTTAATGACTAAAATAACCTTTTTTGTATTTTCAGCAGCAATGTTGTTCAGCGTCTTTATCATGAGTATTTGAGAGATTCATTTCATTTCTGTTCCCTTTTTTTTGGAAAAGAGTAGGATGGAATGGACGCTCACAATGTCAACAATTTATTCAATTACTGAGGGAAAGTTAGACATTTTTACCACTCTGTCATGAACATCACTGATGGGATGTATATTTGTGTGTGAATTAAATGAAGATGTAGAACTATGTTTCCTCATCAACTGGAAAGTGTAACAGTTATCCATAGGCAGGAAGAGAGAAAAAACCAAAAGCTATATACTATGAGGCAAGAATTTAATATATAGAAATGAAGTGTGCCTTTTACAGATAGTACACAGTATTTAAGTAGCTTTCCAAACTCATCCAGATTTTTTCCTTCTTTCTGCTACCCAAGGGTTTATCTTTCCTTTTCCATTCCTCACTCATTCTTATGGAAAAAGAACTGGCAGTAGAGTTTAGACTCCATGCAAAAAAGAGTATAAATTGAGGTTTGTGGCATGGAACATGCTGAAACTATGAAGTCTAGGAGGCCAAATAACCTAGATAATCCAAAATTATTATTTTTATAATTCTTTTAAATTATTATAATACAGTATAAGTACAATGTTACAACAAAACAGAAATAACCCTAATTTATCACAAAAGTTAATGCTAATTATGTAAACCCCCCCCCCCAAAATTAATTAAACCACTAATCTAAATCTCCCCTCCCTATATAAAAATAAATAAAATGACTTCCCACTTTCTATCCTTGGACATCTCTATGAAAAAATAGCAATATTTGTAATATCCATCTAATTTCGACCATATAATTACAAAATAATAATATATTTAATCTTCAAATCCCACAAATAATTCCCCATTTTTCCTCATGGTTTAAATAAAAGTTGAGGAGGGTTCCCAATCTTTTGAAGTTATCTAAACCAAAGGTATTCTAAATGAACCGTCAACACACTACATTTATCACATAGGGAGCTGCTGAGAAGTGTATTAGGGTGAGTGCCAAACCGAAAGGAAACATTTACACAGGGAGTCTGTTTGCATAAATCAGGACATGTGGCAGCCATAATTTGTAGAACCTTTTTACAAAACTCTGTAGTTCACATATATTGCAAATTTGCCTGAACAATGCCTGTTTCTAAAATTGACAGTACATTGCTTCTACAAACTGGACCATTAAAAAAGTGTCTGTTTGTTTAGGAATGGCCACAAATGAGAGGATATGTACATGTGGGGATATTTATATGTCACAGGATAGCTCCAGGTAAACTTAGGTAGAAAATATCATTTCTCATGTACCCACTTGGGAGCTGGTATTTGGACAAACCTTTACACAGCAGTATTTAGTCAAGAAGGGACAAAAAGGGGTATTCTCCAAAGTCCCATTTCAAGCCTATGTATGTCTTACTGAATATGTGTGGTTTTTTTGAGGAGTGCAGCTTGCCAATCCAACTGGAAAACTAAAAAGTATGATTACTAACTAGAGAATTATTAGATATTTCTCCATACATTTTACACTGTTTGAGAAGAAACCTACAAGCACAGCCTCCCCCAGTTTGGTGCCCTCTCCCTAGATTTGATGGAGTGCAAACACCATCATTCACGGCCTCAGATATCTGTATTGGCATAAACACTTCATAAAAACAGCTGGGTCCCATGGTTCTTACAGAATGCTCAAACTGACTGTAGAATATATTTACGTTCACAAAATGCACTATAACATATGTGGAGCCCCCGGTGGCGTAGTGGGTTAAACCCTTGTGCTGACAGGACTGAAGACCGAAAGGTCGGAGGTTCACATCCAGGAAGAGTGTGGATGAACTCCCTCTGTCAACTCATTCTATTTGTCATCCTATCTGTCATCATACTTAAACATCCAGGCGTCCCCTGGGCAACATCCTTGCAGGCGGCCAATTCTCTCACACCAGAAGCAATTTGCAGTTTCTCAAGTCGCTCCTGACATGAAAAAAAAAACATAGTGAAAAGTCTGATCTAAGTTGGTTCAATTGATGCCCTCAGAATCCTTTCCATGCTGTGAAACTTGAAAATGCAAGGTCAAATGTGGAGCCAGCACATAACAGAAATAGTGTGGGTTGGTGGCAGCTGCAGTGGCTTGTATTCCCACATGCAGATAAAAACAGAGCTCTTCCTTGCTTTATATTCTTGAACTGCAGCTCTCAGAATTCCTCATAATTGACTCTGCAAGTTAAGTCTGCTGAGAGTTGCAGTACACACATGTCAAGGCTAAGGAGGGGGCAAAGACACTCAATGTTATATTCAGAGGATACTTAGAAGACCTGCCATCCCTTGTTGAGAGGCAGAAGTTTTTCTGGCTTCCAAAGAACTCTTCTTTTCTTCCTTTGGAGATCACTTCCTCCTTCTCTGGGGTGGAAGCAAAACATGGGACAATGATTTTTTGGAATCTAGCTCCAAGAATTCCTAATCCATCCTGGGGGACTCTGAGAGTTGTAATAAAAAAAAAAAAGGAACTTTCCTAAACTCTAGCCAACAATAGAATTTGAAAGCAGAGAATCAGCTGGATCTGCACCCTTGAAGTGTCCCCACTTGGTAAGGGACAGAACTTCAACAAGGAAAAAAATCAGAGACAGATGAGAGGAAATTTATTTATTTATAGTATTGATAGGCCAGTTTTCATCAATAGCACATTTTGGGACTGTTCATAATAATACAGCATTAAAATTACTATTCTAATGACAATGGTAAACTCAAAGATAAAACTGCACATAAATATTTATCATGTGCAAAAATCCTGGGTACATAGGGCTGGAGGTAGGGGAGGTCACATAGTGCCTAAAAACTATGTAATATGGTCCCCAAGGAAGTCTTCCTCAGGGTTGAAACATGGAGGGTGGAGTGTGCTATCTTGCTCTGATTCTGAACTCCATGTAGGGTTACCAGATTGGAAACTCAAAAGGGGGTCGGTTTCTTGGAAACTATTCCAGCAAATAGTGCTTCTTATCTAACTAGACAACAACCAACGCCTGCTGAACTGCCCTCTTATACAAAACAGGAGACATCTGTAGTTTTTCCTCTGGTGTCCTATGCTGCAGTCAGCAAGTGACCAAGTGTTGGTGATTGTAAGGCAAAGAGCTGTAAGATAGTTAATCAAATCGGTCACAGGTTAGCCAGCAAGATGAAGTGAGGAACAAGAGCAATGTCATCACCCGATCAAAAATCCTCTACAACAAGTCAGTAATCAAGATAAATGAAGTCAACAAGAAGCAATCACAGCCAGTTCAATGCAAAGAGTACTTGAAAACTGCCAGTCACCAAGGCAAAAAGGTGCTACTGGGGGATTTATAAGCAGCCGCCTCTGGACACAATGAATCAATGTTTTTTTTGGAAATGCATGACCTTTTTAGAGATCATAATCTTTTGGAAAACCAGAATCTCCATAACCTTTTAGAGAAAAAATGGCATTCATAGCCATTTGAAAATCATAACCTTTTGTAAAAGTATGATCTTCCAGAGAAGATCCAAAAACTCGTTTGAGTAAAATCTTCTCTTTAGTGGTATATAACCAGATGTACTTATGCAAGGCAATTTGGTTTTCAGTTGTTAGACTGATATCCTGGTTGTCTCTGATCTGTTAGGAACAGAGATTATGCCAATGCACAAAGTATAGCAGTTCTTCAGAAGTGTTCTTTTCAGTGCCCCATCTACTCTCCCATAAAGCATCTTGTTCCTATATCATGCTCTCAAGAGACAAAAATACAGTAGACTTCATTAAAAGTAACATATCTGGTTTACTCACAACCTTCATGTGTTCAGCATAAGGGTACACAACTTGTCAATCCAGTTACAGATGGATTTGAAGCACTTTCTCTATGCAGTTAACACAGGGCATCTTCCTTATAATCAACAGCAACATAAGTTTGCTCTTAATAGTCCAAAGTCTAAAAGCATCTCTGTGTTCTAAAATGGAGTCTTGAGAAGTCTCAGGTCTGATCATGTGGTCTGCAGCCCTTCCAATAACCTCAAGAAACATAAGAGCAGAGGGAAAGCTGCATACCAAAACATACATATGCAATACAGCAAGCAAACAGAATCAAATTACTAGTGGAGGCTTGAAGAAGGTTGCTGTTTTCAACAGTTTCCTATTTAACAGACCTCAGAACCCTACAAGGTTTCTTCTTATCTCGCTTGAAAGCTTCAAAAGAAGATGTGTCCTCAGAGTCTGCTAGTTCCTTCATAAGAGCTACTCAGAGAGACCCCTATTATAAAGCCATAAACTCTTGGCAATCTAACTCTTCTGTTTCCACTTCTTCAGATTCCAAAGGGTGAGTTATGACATTTGGCAACTCTAGTTTTGAGCTAAAGAGGAAACTAGGAAGCATGCTGATTTACACTGCCTTAGAGCTTGAAAAAATTGACTTTATGAATTAAAATTCTCAATTGTTGTGCTGGTTGGGGGATTCTGGGAATTGTCATCCTAGAAGTTCACTTTTTGCAGCACTTTCCTGCCGCAACACCCAAAAAGTGGAGCTCAAACATGAAGTGGAGAAATGTGTCAGTTTGGCTCTGCCTGTTTCCACTCTGTTTTGATTCACTGACCAGTTCTTATTCATCTCATTGACCAGAGCCAGATAGGGAATAGATAAGACAGCAAGACCCCACAAACCCTGCATATACTGTAGTTACGGGGCAAGTATATTACAAAAGACAGAAGGTAGAACAAGAGATGGGAACAAGAGACTGTTTGAAGGTAGACAGCAATGCCTCACCATCTGCTTCACATGGGGACTGTCCCTCAAAGTTCTGGCACATACAACAAACAACCAGCTGTATCCCAAACCACCAGAAGAGAAAGAAGAGCAAGTGCCATCTCCACATTCTTCCAATCAGGTAAGGAAGAACAGAGGAGGACAATGAACATGGCAATAATTGTAATGGGGATTCCAGCACTCCCCCCCCCCCCAGCTGTTGGAAAAGGAGGACAAAGAGGCAGTATGTGGTAGACGAATATCTTAAATTGCCTTCTTTGTATTTTTTTTCTCTTGAGGAAAAAGACTTGTGAAAGTTGACTGGCACTATCAAAGGAGAATTAGGAAAATCTCCTATGCTATGCCACCGAGGTGTAGGGCAGAACATTCATTTCCCTCTCAATGAAGTTCATCTCAAGGTATGTTGAGGACTGGCTTTTTTATCTCCACTGTGCCAGTGATAAGTACCATATTTGTGCTCATTGATTACAATTATTTCTTTCTTTCCTGCAAATTCATCAGGTACTGGCAACTGGGAAAGCCAGTGTAGCATAGTGGTTTGTGTGTATACAACTTTAGAGACCACACAGGTCTTGATTTCCCACTTGATCATTGAAACCCATTGAGTGACCTTTGGTGAGTCATCAATCTCTCTCAACCCAAGAAAAGTTCATGATAGGCTCATCAAAGGTTACCATGAATTGGAAACAACTTGAAGGCACACAGAACAAACCAGTATGTAAGACTTCATGAGCTAGCACTGGTCCATGGACAGGCAATTTGAATAGCGCTGGTCTAAAGTACCTGTTTCAGCAGGCCTCACAATGGTGTTGGCCTTGAGAAGAGATATCTTTTATCTAAGAAGCCGATAGCTATGCTATGCAGAGCACACACATCAAGAGAGCTAGTGTGGTGTAAGTGGTCACAGTGCCAGATTAGGACTAGGGAGAACCAGGTTAAGTTCCCACTTAGTAATAAAGCTCACAGGGCAAGGGCAAAGAATCATAGAATTGGAAGAGACCTTGTGGGCCATCCAGTCCAACCCCCTGCCAAGAAGCAGGAAAATCTCATTCAAAGCACCCCCGGCAGATGGCCATCCAGCTTCTGTTTAAAAGCCTCCAAAGAAGGAGCTTCCACCACACTTGTTCCATTCTCTCAGATACGAGGATAAACTACAAAGCCCTTTGGAGAAGAGGTAGAATATAAATGCAATGAATATACAGAATATAGGTAAAAGATGTAGTCAATATCCAGCTGAATTAAAAAAGATGTAGTCATCACCCAGCTGAATTAATGAAGTAGGATATACAACTAAATACTGAAAGAGAAGCAATTATTTCCAACATAAAGTGAGCCCATTCCTAGCCTCAGCTCAGTCCAAGTCTGAGAGTGTCAACAGTTACTCATTCCAACCCAGCACAGCCTCCCTTTGGGGATTTATGCCTGTTAGTGAACATCCCAAGAGAAGAAAATGCTCTCTTTTTGTTAATGCAAGCCTTGGCTATACTTTTCCAGACTATCACAATGCAATATACCCATTCCAATGTGATCTTTTATTTTTACCACTTTGGTTTCATTCAGCAAATATAGCAAGCATCCTCATACCTCACAACCTCTGAGGATGCTTGCCATAGATGCAGACGAAACATCAGGAGAGAATGCTTCTAGAACATGGCCATATAGCCCGAAAAACCTACAACAACCCAAATACTTCTATGTTTCTGGTCTTCCTCTGGAATCCTTATCTCCCCTGCTCCCCTGAAACTGATCTATAACTGAGGACTTTGTTTGTATCTGGAGGTAGGCTCTGGGCCATAATGTTTATGTTGCCATAAACAACTCTTTCCCTGCCCAACGGCCTACAAAAGTGTTGGACTACCTTCTTCTATCCATTGCCCTCACATAGGTATGAGGCATGCTGGTTGGGAGTGACGAGGTCAACACATCTGGAAGACCCTGGACTGGTTTATAACAAGACTGTTGTTTTTGTGCCACCTCTCCACCAGTAGGATCAACACATAATCATCTGTCATGACACCTTTTTCAAAACTGCTTCACCTCTCATTAAAAAGAGGCAATGAGGCAATTGAACCTTGAACCTTGCAGACAAAGACATCAGGTGAAGGTTGGATGTAGATGAAACTTTCTCCTCAAACAGTTTCCCACTCCCAAAACCTGCTTTTTCATTCTGGGCAGCAGAGGATGGGGCTGTCTTGCCACGTTATCAACAGCTTCGGATTCCCATGTCTCCTCCTTTCTCCGCCCTCCTTGCAGAGTTCTCCTGCCACACAGTCAGAGACCGTTATGTCATTTTCCTTGAGCTTGGCCTGAGGCTACAACCTGACCAGAGGCACCTTTATAAAGAAATGGAGGTTCTTTGGAGAATGCAACCATGCCTATTCAAGAGTACCATTTATAATACTCCACTGGGAATAATGTTGCTTAAATATCCTAAAGCCAGCAGATCATGTCAGATTTTGCTGGCTAAGCAGGGTCTGCCACAGTTAGATTTTTTTTCCTGTGTAGCAGTGACTTGAGAAACTCTAAGTTGCTTCTGGTGTGAGAGAATTATCCGTCTGCAAGGACATTGCCCAAGGGATGTACAGATGCTTGATGTTTTACCATCCTGTGGGAAGTTTCTCTCATGTCCCCACATAAGAAGCTGGAGCTGACAGAGGGAGCTCACCCGCTCTCCCCAGATTTGAACTGGCAACCTGTTGATCAGCAGTCCTGCCGCCACAAAAGTTTAACCCATTGTACCACTGGGGGTCATACCAACTATTGCCAGGTGTTGAAGGCTCTATTTCAGAGGAAGGAACTGGCAAAACCACCTCTTGATTATTATGTACCTAAGAAAGCCCCTGGTGGTGCAGTGGGTTAAAGCGCTGAGCTTGCTGATCGAAAGGTTGCAGGTTCGATTCTGGGGAGCGGCGTGAGCTTCCGCTGACAGCCCCAGCTTCTGCCAACCTAGCAGTTCGAAAACATGTGAATGTGAGTAGATCAATAGGTACCGTAACGGTGCTCCATGCAGTCATGCTGGCCACATGACTTTGGAGATGTCTACGAACAAGCTCTTTGGCTTAGAAATGGAGATGAGCACCAGCCCCCAGAGTTGGGCATGATGGGACTTCATGTCAGGGGACAACCTTTGCCTTTAAGAAAGCCATATGAAAAAGGTACAGAGTTGGCATAACTCCACAGGCGTAATTAAGTCTGGTGGATCAATAGGTACCCTTGTGTCGGCAGACTGCTGACCGAAAGGTCTGTGGAACCGGGTGAGCTCCTGTCTGTCTTCTCCAGCTTCTCATACAGGGGCATTAGAGAAGCCTCTCCCTGGGCAACATCCTTGTAGACAGCAAATTCTCTCACACCAGAAGCAACTTGAAGTTTCTCAAGTTGCTCCTGACACACACACACACACAAACACCTTGAAAATACATACACACAGACACACTGGGATTATTATGACCACATATTGTTAATGTTGTTCCCAATGGATGATATATACTTTGAATGGTTTTGATCACCTGCATCGAGTAACTAAGGCAGTTCATCATCATCAACAAGGGTGGGGAACAATGTGAGGGCGCACCCCCCCCCCCCCCCCCCCCCCCCCCCCGCCGTGTATTTTCCACGTGGAGAGTGTCCTGGGGAGTTTGACCTTACCCCAGCCTTTCCTTGCTTTCCTCAGGAGTGAGCTGGTCGAATGTTTTGGCTTCTTCTTTGCCCAGGAAGGCCTCGTGGTCGTACTGGAAGCTCTGGTTGTCTTCGTGCTGCTGATCGCTGAGCTGGGGCTCCGGGTGGGCGCCCCTCTCCTTCCTGAAGGTGGGGACCCCCAGGGCGCCGCCCAGGCAGAGCACCACCACCAGCACCAGCACCAGCACCACCACGGGGCAGCCAGCGGGGAGACCGGCTTTCAAGCCCATTGTGTCCTCTAGGCAATGGGGGAGGAGTAGCAGGAGAAGGAGGGAACTCGGCAACCTGGAGGGCAGCAGAAGGAAGTCCAGAGGACTAGCTGCTTGGGAGGGTCAAGAGAGTGGCGCCCCTTGCAAAAGCCCCGCAGCCCGAAACCCCGGCCCCTGAGTCTTCTGGGTTCAAGAGGTCTCGGCTCCTCCTCGCCCGCTCCCTCGTTCCTTCCTCCCTTGCCGGCAGAGAAAGTCTCGCTTTCGGAATGCCCAGGAATGACCTAATTTGGGCCGGGCGCTGGGATCCCCCCGTCGCAGCCACTCAGGAGTGCGCTTGCAAACGCCGCGTTCTAAGCCCCCTCCGATGCTACGACACTCGCCATTGGCCCAGAGAAGTTTTCCCTGTTGTGGGCGGGGACCAAAGGAGGCTGCCGGACCGCCACGTTTACAAGGCGGCTCGGGTTGCTTTGGAGGCACGAGAGAGAGAGAGAGAAAGAGAGATCGGGTGGTGGGAAGCGCCCACTGCCAGCGTGGGTCTGGACGGGCTGCTTGCTATCCGAAACGCATGTTCTGGGACACATGGCCCGAGCCTGTGTGTTTTTGCCTAGCTTGGAGAAATCCCCAGGGAGTTCCCCAAGTAAACAAGCGAAAGATACGAGCGATGAGACCAACTTTCTTTGGAGTTGTTGGAATCCCTTCTAGACTCTCCCGCCTGCTCCAAAGCTGCCATCTACGCCCCTTCCACACAGGGCTCTTCCACACAGCCCTATATCCCATACAGGAGAATACAATCCCACATTATCTGCTTTGAAGTGGAATATATGTCAGTGTGGACTCAAATAATTCAGTATTGTGAAAGTTTCTACCTTGATATTCTGGGAAAGTGGGGTATTCTTCTTATTACCCCACTTTCCTCTAAGGGCTCTTCCACACAGCCCTATATCCCAGAATATCAAGGCAGGAAATCCCACATCATCTGAGTGCGCACTCAGATAATCCAGGGCTCTTCCACACAGGCCTATATCCCAGAATATCAAGGCAGGAAATCTCACATGATCTGAGTGTGCACTCAGATAACCCAGGGCTTTTCCACACAGCCCTATATCCCAGAATACCAAGGCGGAAAATCCCACATGATCTGAGTGTGCACTCAGATAACCCAGGGCTCTTCCACACAGCCCTATATCCCAGAATATCAAGGCAGAAAATCCCACTTTATCTGAGTGTGCACTCAGATAACCCAGGGCTCTTTCACACAGTCCTATATCCTAGAATATTAAGGCAGAAAATCCCAAATATTTGCTTTGAACTAGGTTATCTGAGTCTACACTCGGATCTGGGATTTTCTGCTGTGTGGAAAGGTCCTTAAATGGGACTCCAAGCGGCTCACAGCATTAAAAGCAATGCAATTATGAAACAAAGTATAAATATCAAAATAGAATTACACAAAGAATTGCTGTAAACAAATCAGTTACAATCACGTAAACTGTTAATTAAAACACTCATGGGTTACTTTCCTAAATCCAGCCTATACATATATATCAGGCATGGGCAAACATAAGCCCTCTAAGTGTTTTGGACTTCACCTTCCACATTCCTATTGCCCGCCCGCAGGCTCTTTCCTTTCCCCCCTCAGCCGCTTATGCGGCTGAGGGGAGGGGGGGGAAGGGGCCTGGGGCCATTAGGAATGGTGGGAGTTGAAGTCCAAAACACCCTCAGGGCCCAAGTTTGCCCATGCCTGGCATATACTATCCCTGGGCCTGTAATTGCACCTTCAAGTAGTTTCTGAGCGGAAGCAAACTTACCGGGTTTTCTTGGCAACATTTCTTCGGCAGAACTTTGCCATTGCTTTCCTCTGAGGCCAAGACAGTGTGATTTTCCCAGGGTCACTGGTTTTATGGCTGAGTGGGGATTTGAATCCTGGTCTCCAGAGATGTGATCTAACACAGCACTATACTACTCTGGCCCCATCCCTAACCCTCACTGATAATGTTTCGAATTTTAAAACCCACAGTGTGCTAAAATGTTTCAGAATCCATGCAGAGTATCCACTGCCGCTTTGACTTTTCCACAATTTGTTGTCTAACAAGTTGGGTTTGAAACAGATTTAACTGTCATTGTTGCCAGCCGATGTATACAAAGTACACTGTGAAAGTACAAAATAGGTTTATTGTAGTTTAAGCAAACCAATACGTAAGGTTTTCCCCTGACATTAAGTCTAGTCGTGTCCAACTCTGGGAGTGGTGCTCATCTCCATTTCTAAGCCGAAGAGTTGGCATTGTCTGTAGATGCCCCCAAAGTCATGTGGCTGGCATAACTGCATGGAGCACCATTACCTTCCCGTAGAAACTGTATCTATTGATCTACTTACATTTGTATGTTTTCGAACTGCTAGGTTGGCAGAAGCTAGAACTAACATTGGGAGCTCATCTCTTGGATTCAAACTTTCGGTCAGCAAGTTCAGCAGCTCAGCAGTTTAACCCGCTGTGCCGCCAGAGACTCAAACTAATATAAACTAGTATTTGTTGATTTCATGAAATATCACTTCCATGTCACTTCCATGTCACTTCCCTCTCAAACCTGGCTGGTGGGAACAAGAGTGAGGGCGAACTCTGTCGAAGAAGATCGGAATGGCTCCCATGCTGCCCTCCTTCAGGAAGAAAGCAGCTAACAACCTTCCCATGCTCCCAAGCATACGGAGAGCCAAATGTTTGAAAATCAGGCCTTACCAAATAAGGAATGGACTATGGATATGACTTATAACCCTGTTTTTTTTATTGATGTGGGGAAGTATGTTTTATTGGTCTTTTATTGTGATTTGTATTTTTTTTATGATTGAATGTTTTGTGCTATTTATCTGTATTGTTTGATTTATTGTTTATTTTTCTGGCATTGAATGTTTGCCTTTTATCTTGTAAGCCGCCCTGAGTCCCCATGGGGAGATGGGGCAGGATATAAATAAAGTTTGATTGATCGATTAAACAACTAAAGCTATTAGTCTTCTTGAGTAAGTCTCTGCTCAGCTAAAGTCTGCAATTTGGAAAAGTCCAAAGGTCGAAAAGACTTCTGAAAGGCACTATAATTCCTGATAGATTTGCAAGCCCAATTTACTAAGAATCAGCTGCTGTGAGCAATGAAGATCTGTTCACCTGTTAATAGCAGTTTGATATTTCCTCACCACCTCCCATGGGTGATCTCTAGTGTGACAATCAGGAATCAGAAACAGGATTCCTGACACAGTTTCTGTTCACATTGGAGATTACTCACGGGAAGAGGGTGGAAAGGTCAGTTGTGTCTGCTATGTCCCAATTGATTGGAGAACTTCTGTTACTTGTAATGGTTGATGCCACGTGAAGCAGGATTGCAGGATTTGAATGATCTCTACCTATTTCCTACACCAGTGTTTCTCAAATTGTGTTCCTCCCGGTGCTTTGGACTTCAGCTCCCAGAAATCCCAGTCAGCTTACCAGCTGTTAAAACTATGGGAGCTGAAGTCATAGAATCATAGAGTTGGAAGAGACCTCATGGGCCATCCAGTTCAACCCCCTGCCAACAAGCAGGAAAATCTCATTCAAAGAACCCCCAACAGATCCAAAACACCTGGAGGAGTACAGTTTGAGAAACTGTTCTAGAGGACTGAAAATGTTGGGATTGTGAATACTATATGGCTACATATTCATAACTGTGAGTGAATTCCAGCCTGAGTTATGAAATTGTTCTTTAAAATACTACTCTAAGACTTTGAAAAGCTTTATGCAAACAGAAGTAAATCAAAGGCATACTTTTTCAAGGCAGGGTTATTCTAAACTCTGCTTACTTGTACTTAGTGTATATGGGAAAATCATGAGAAGATCAAACAATGAAAGGAGAGCTTTCATAACAGCAAACACCAGTAGTAAAATTTACTGCATTCTTTCCTGCAACACAAACAGCATTCTGGATCACAATGGCAGAGAGTTGGCAGTTTCTACTGGTAAAAAAGATTAGTTTTTATGAGATATTCTACTTGGTTCACATTTTTAAAATACTTCTGAGAGAGGACTGAACTGATAGTGGACTCATCCAGACTGTCAAAAGCCTTGTTTTATTATTTTTTATTATTTGTACCTGTATTTCTCAAGATTTTTAAAAAATATTAATATTATATACAAATTTCCAGGACTGGCCATGAACGTTTTCTACTCAGAGTAGGGGGTGCTTGCACTCCTAAAACAGGCAGGGATACATGTCCATATCTATATCCATCATCTCATTTTCCTTTTGCAGTACTGTGTGGTTCCACAGATGAGATGATGTGTGAAGGTTTTTCCTGATCTTTTGCCATGAAGGTTTTTCCTGATCTTAATTCCTTTATCCCATTTCTGGTTTCCAGGTTTAACACGTCCTCTTGTCTTACTTTGCTTTCATATTTTCCTGCAGTGATAATGCTGAGATGCTGCCGTGCCTTATTGCCATGACTCTTTTGCACTAAAAACAAAAAGTTTTTTAAAAGTTAACATGCCAGAATGGGACCATGGATACTGAGGGAAGTGGGATGACAGATGGGAAGGAAGCCATGGCCATATCACAATTATCCATCAGTGAGGGGGGAAAGAATTAATAAAACTCCAGTATACTTAGGGTATGATTAAATGCAGGAGCAAGAACAACTCTCATGAGGCCTGATACCCAGAACCAGAATTAGTTTATAGAGACTGGGTGTAGAATTAATGTAGTTTGATATCACTTTAAGTGCCATGGCTCAATACTATGGAATCATAGGAGCTGTAGCTTTACAAGGTCTTTAGCTTTTTCTGCCAAATAGTGCTAGTGCCTCCAAAACCACAGCGCCTATGATTCCATGTCATTAAGCCATAGCAGTTAAAATTGTGTCAAATAGTATTAATTCTACAGTGTAGATATACCCATAGTGACAAAAGTTTCTAATGACTTATAAAGGAGTGTCTTTATAGGGATTTTCCACGTATAATAATAAAAAGGTAAAGGTTCCCCTGACATTAAGTCTAGTTGTCTCCGACTTTGGGGGTGGTGTTCGTCTCCATTTCTAAGCCGAAGAACTGGTGTTGTCCATAGACACCTCCAAGGTCATGTGACCCTTATGACTGAATGGAATGCTGTTACCTTCCCACCGTGGCAGTACCTATTGATCTACTCACATTTGCATGTTTTCAAAGTGCTAGGTTGGCAGAAGATGGCCTAACTATGGGAGCTCACCCCGTTCCCTGGATTCAAACTGCCAACCTTTCAGTCAGCAAGTCCAGCAGCTCAGCGGTTTAACATGCTGTGCCACCAGGGCCCCCAATAATACTAACAATAATAAT